GCAAGTTTCTCAAAGGACCCAATCCTGCCATGGGGAAGGCCGTTAAACCATTCCACTGGCCTCCCTCTCAAGGATGAGAAGAAGAGTAGGCATTCCTCAGCATCAGTGCACCCGGCCATCTGTGCTGCATTGTGGAAGGTGTCAAGGTGGACGTTTGGATCCTCCTTTCCTGTGAATTTCTCCACGTCCAGCTTAATCTTCCGCCTCAACCTCTGCGCATGTACCCTGGTCGAAAAGGGAAATTTAGCCAAGGTGTGCTTTTTCGCTCCCGCCTTCTCTTCCACCTTTTCCTCCAGGGCACGTAGTTTCCTTGCCACGCTCCCTATCTTGTCCAGATCATCCTCATCGTATGAGAGCCTGGTATATGCCGACGCCCTCGGCTGGCTTTCTGCTTCCTCCTCGTCTTGGTGAATCGTCTCAGATTCCCTAGAACGACGAGATTGGGCGTGATGACTCCCGCTATGTCTTTCCATTGCGCTAGTCCGGCCCATCTCAGGACCAAGACGTAGCTTGGCATACTTGCGGGGTCCATGCTCTTTGTCCCCTAGGCGTTTGAACGCCGAATCTCGAGTCTTGCTGGGTTTGGCTATAGCCTTACCCTTCCTCCTGCGGGCCGCCTCTTGCTCCGCCTCATCGACCTAATGGACATTTGAGGGTGCTGCTTCATTCATGGTCCCCGTCAGATTCACCGGATGTATAGGGACCATCCTAGGGACAAATGTCGACGGGGTCGACACCGGAGGTGGCATGATTGGTGGCGTCATGCCGGGATAGGCAAATGGCATGAAGCCCCCTGCCTGTTGCATCATGGTCATCACCTGTTGATAGCCCTGTAGAGGCTGAGCATTTGCCGGGTCAGCAGCAAACTGAGCCCAAGCTGACGGGTGAGGTGTGAATGCTCCACCAGGCGTTGTTATCGAGCCTGGGAACATTGTTGTCGTCGGCGTAGGAGTAGGGGTTGACATGATGGGGATCATGCCAATCGATCCTACAGTGGTGATCGGAGCAAAGGTCGTCTCCATGCTCGACATCATCAATGGGATGGCAGGAGTGCTTTCACTCGCAGCCTGGCTTGACACAGCGTTGTAGTTGCTTGAAGACATGATTGTGGATATTTAGTGGGGGTAAAGTTTTGACCTGGTCGAAAAAACCTTAAAAATCGGTCCCACGGGTGGCGCCAAAAATGATGGTGTAAATATAGCGGGGTGGGTTAACCGGGTTTGACCTGGACACACTCGACCTGTAATATAAAACACACAACAAGAACACAAAGTATGACCTAGACCGGGTAAATCTCCTCAGTCCGAATTATATTTCTTACTCTATCTCAAGAGTGAACTTTAGTGAGAGAAAAATTGGATCCCCTCCTCTATCAAATATCATCATATTTATAGAGGAGGATTTGTGACCCTGCCCTGTTCATCCATGGACAAAATAGGAAGCTCGTGGGAAGGTCACTGTAGATAATGGAAGCACTGTACAATCATAGAATTTAGCAACTATAAGCCAAGACATGTACTGTTCAATCAAAGACTATAGATGGATATTCTCAATCCAATCAGCCCTGCAAAGTGACAAACATCTCTTTCACTGTTTGTCTCGTGATGGACGAACGGCGGGGTGGTCCCTCGATCTTTGACGCGGTTCACCATGCCTGAGATACTGGACCAATGTTTGTCAAGTAAGATGATATGATCGGTCACCTTTTTCCCAAAGATTGACCGGTCATTTCTTGAGCTCAACCCGTCTCTTTGGTCTTCTTGAATTCTTCACAACATTAGGTGATATTTTGGCTATCGCCCAAAATGTGACCGGTCACTTTTTTAGTGGAAGTGACCGGTCAACTTTTGACCTGTCCCAATCGAAGAGTTAACTTCATTTGGTAATTGATAAAAGTGACCGGTCATATTTTGACCTGTCCCTTTCGGTTATCCGGGTCGGGTATAAGGATATACCCATCAGACGTCACCCATGTTCTCCTTTCGTCCGCCTAATTTTCCGAGCCATGCATATATATTTTTTGGGAGATGCTAGGGGTACACTAACGGTGTACCCAAAATGTACACCACCTCATTCTTTACCATTCATTTTGTTTTATTTTTATTTTTTTTTTTATTTTTGAAATTTACTATTTTGAAATTTAATCCCAAACACCCTCATAGAAATGAAAGATTTGAGGTCAAACGAATTTAAAAAATTCTAAAAAGAATTATTTGGTTTGCAAAGGTTAAAATAAAAATCATTCAATTCAAAATAATTTTGTTTGACCCAAATTGATTCGAGATTTGATGTCGATGCAGAAGAAAAAGTTGTTCAAAAGGTTTTGAGTGCCATAGCAGTTTTCAAATTAAATTTCAGACCGGAGCAAAATTTGACCAACTATTTGCTGTGAGTGGCGCCACCTAATTGACCGGCCATGATTTTTGGAGTGGGATTCTTATCTTTTCATTGAGTCGAAATTGCACTGCACCACTTTAGTCAATCTTTGATAAGAAAAAGACAAAAAATATGGAAAATGCTAGAGTTACACTAAAGGTGTACCCCAAATGTCCCTCACCCCCTCCATAACCATATACAGAGTAAAAAGGTAAGTACGGAGTAACTTATAACTTCTACTTTACTAAAACACAATTTTAAATGTTTGATAATCTGCTTTAACTTATAAATTATTCCCTCCGTCCCAAAAAGATTTACACGTTTCAGAAAAAATTGCGTCCCACAATTCCTTATCCATTTTTATTAAAAAACCACTTTTACCCTTATTTTTTCAAACCCTACCTATCACATCATACTTTTTTTCTAATAATCTATACATCACATCAAGGGTATTTTTGGAAAGTCAACACAAAATTATCCCTCTTTTAATTTCTAATTTAGTCAAAACGTACCTATCTTTACGAGACGGGGGGAGTATATCTTTAGAAGTTAAAATTAAGGTTTAGAAGTTCTTTCTAGCAAAGCTAAAAATACATGTTTTCTACTTCTAAATTATGACTTTTACTTTTACATAACTCACCACACTCCCAAACACCCTCTATGTAACATCATAATTTAATGTGCACTTTTTACAACTTCTACCCTCATTTTCCCCCTTGATCCGCAACCTTGAAATTGCTCATTTATTAGTATTTTTGTACTACTTTTGACCCAATTTTTATTCTTTTTAAAATAGGGACATGACTTTTGTGCACCTTAAACTTATGAACAAACACATATACAAACAAATGGGAACTTGTCTTGATTGATTCAAAATTAAATGATAATACATTAAATATGGAGTAGGTATGTATCACCCCAAAACATGGTCTAAAAGTTATTTTATGATAAAAGAATTTCAAAACAATATTTTGACCCCACAAAGTATTATTTCTGATGGGTATATCCTTATACCCGACCCGGACAACTGAAAGGGACATGTCAAAATATGACCGGTCACTTTCCATTATCATAGAATGAGAATAACTCTTCGATCAAGACGGGTCAAAAGTTGACCGGTCACTTTTTGGGGAAAAAGTGACCGGTCACATTTTGGGCGATAGCCAAAATGTCACCTAATGTTACGAAGGACATTCTAGAAGACCAGAGAGACGAGTTGGGCTCAAGAAATGACCGGCCGACCTTCAAGGAAAGGTGATTGGTCATATTCTTCTACTTAGCTAATGTTCAGGTAATTTCCCAAGTATGGTAGTCAGCATCATAGGCTAGGGGACCACCCCGCCGTTCATCCATCACGAGGCATACAATGAAAGGGATGTTTGTCATCTTGCAGGGCTGATTGGATTGAGAATATCCACCTTATAGTCTTTGATTGAACAGTGCTTCTTGGTTGTATTAATATTTAATAACAAGTCTATGATTGAACAGTGATTAGATTATGTACAGTGACCTTCCTCCGGATTTCCTACTTTGTCCATGGATGAACAGGGGAAGGTCCCATAAGAGCATTCCATTAATTAGTTGTGAGGGACGAGAGATTCGGATGGGTAGGTCCTCAACCTCCTTCTGCCATGCCAGTCTGAGTCGTCATTGTCGTTGGTCTGCCACCTCCATTTCTATTGCCACGGCTGAAACTGCCACCACGGTTCATTCCGCGCTCTGGGTTTAAGACACGTGGGTAATCTCCCCACCATTCTAGGTACCCAACAAGTTGAAAACATTTGCTCTCTCGTGTCCGTTTAGCCCACAGTGTTTTCATTTTAAATCTTTATTTGCATCATGATCAAATTTAAAGTGCGACCAAAACTTACCAGATTCCGTTCTTCTTCCTCTGTGATTTCCAAGATTCCCTCTTGCAGGATTATGGTCGAGTAGACACGGCTCAATGGTGCTAGGGGTTCAATGCTTATAATAATGGATCTGATACTTCCATAACCTTCATTGTCCAGTCCCATCAGGAATTGGTACACTTTCCCTTTATCTCTTTTTATTGCAAGAGCCTTGCTCATGCCATACTCGCATCTATGGCACTTGCACGTATGAAAATTTTCATGATCACTAAGTTCATCCCAGATGCCTTTTAATTTTCTAGAGTATGTAACAATGAATTACTTGTTTTGCTCATAATTTGCAAGTTCTTTCTTCATATGATGAATTTGCGGGCCATTTGCAACAGAAAAACGGTCCTTTATATTGTCCATAGTTCCGCAGCCTCCTCAACTTGCGTGACGGAATTTTGTAAGCTTCAATCAATGGTGTTGTAAATCCATGAAACCAATATGGCATTCACAATCCATCATTCTTCATAATTTTTGTTTCCCTCTTCAAGACAAAAGATGGATCCATCAATGAATCTAATTTTCCGTTTAGCACGGAGTGCGATCCTCATCGCTCGAGCCCACTCTTCATAATTATCACTGTTTAATTTAACTTGAGTGATAATTAATCCAGGTTATCCACATTATTAAGTTCAAATAAATGATTATATAAATAAAAGATTATTTGTAATTCATCTATACTTTAAACAACTTTTCAAAATCAATTTATTTTTTAATGAAGAAATATAAAAACTTTGTTATTGTTATAACGTATTTGTATATATGTTCGATTCAGGATTTTTCGGTATGGGAAGTTACCTCGTACCGATCCCAAATGCCGGACCGACCATTCGGTTAAGTACAGTATGGTTCTTTTTCGGTATTTTATTGGTTCGGTATTTTTCGGTTCGGTAATCCCGGTATTTTCGGGAAATTTTTGTATTGGTTCGGTACGTGCTCACCCCTATGACTGGGTAGCTCGGGCACCGTTCTTTGCAGCGTGGCGGTTGGCAACACCATGCCTGGGTAGTAGCGAATCTCATTTGAGCAACGACGACATCATCCACGAGAATAGCAGCGGTAGTAGCAGGGTTCGGTATCCCTATCCAGCGACGCTCCAAAAAAGTGGCGGGGATAATCAAGTCTGAGCAGCGAGTTGAATCGGTCAACGACAATGGCATTTTTAGCTCTGTCCAACGGGACTTTCCGGGAAGTAGCAGGCATTCCGACAGCAGGCGGGAGTCCTCCGATTAAAATGAATTATTGTTGGGCTTTGGGCCGATATGAAATGTGTTTTGACATCCAATATCAAAATCTGGATAAGTCTCATAGCGATAAATCCAATATGTGGACTATTTGTGTGGTCTTGATTGGGAACCTGAGTACAGACCCAAATCAAGAGTAAATAAAGAATTTGTTTAGAATGTAAATATTGAAATGATTTGTTGAAATAAATCATGAGAATAATTGATGTGAATTAAATGAGAGAACCTTTTACGAGGAAGGTCAATTAAACCAATTTTGACTCTGTTAAAGTCAAACACCCAAAAATGTGGTGTCAGAAAAAGTATAATGAATGAATATAAAAATTATATCGTTGGATAGAGTTCGACTGTCTGATCGCAACGCTGCAAACGGATTTTAATTCGGAGAAAGTTGGACCAAAAAGTGTACCCCGACTAGGACCAAATTAGTCCCAATCAGGGAAGATTCGTAGCAATCAGACTAAATCAGCCGACCTTCCCATTTCGCCGATCGTGAGTCACCACTGACTCAACTCCATTAGCTTCTTCTTCTTCACCAATATATAAGGAAGACCTCTCTTCCTCATTTCTTCACCATTCTCCCTCAAATTTCTTCTAAGAGGTAGCCTTGAGTGTAAGGAGTGTTGTGGTGCTGTCAATTTGGTGTGGAATCACCG